GTTCAAAACTTGTGGATTTACTCTTTGAATTTTGATGCATGTCTTCACTTGTCAAAAAAAGTAAATTATGCAAGTTACACCCCATCCCCCTTTTCTCCCAATATACTGAAGTTGTACTACAGATCTTTAGCTACAGTAAGCAATTCTCCGAGGATGAAGAAAGAAAATGTACATACACATAGGAATTTCTTTTCCAGAGCTAAAATTGACATTTTATAAATAATTTCCATGTTGCAAACTTGAGACTAAGAAATCACAGCAATTCAGTGATATGCATTTGGCATGAGTCAGTTTTAGTTCTTAGTGCTTTTCATTGGAAATGGCATAAAAAGTAAGATTTCTCTGAATTTTTTATGCTGTGGGCTTACAAGAGACATAAGATGTTTTTCTCTTATAGATGTCTGGCAGTGCATGGCAGCAGAAGTAACGAAATGGTCACAAACCCCGTGGTACTTCCTAGGTCACATGCGCTCTTAATTTTTAAAGAATCTAGAAATAACCTAAGCAGTTGATAACTGGTCATTTCTAGGTGATAAAGAGTATTTGATATGGGTTGAGTGTTGCCTTTCTTTACACCACTTTTATTTTTATAGTCATTTAGAGATTTACATAGGATGGTTTTATATGTTTTAAAATATGTAACTAGTAACTGAATTGTTACTTTTTAGTGTTTGACATTGATTTTAAAAGTTAAAAAAATTATTTCAGTTTATCATATATGCAAGTTACAGTTTATCATATATATGATGACCTGAATATTTATTATATATGATATATAGATAGACATATATAATGTATATAATGAGCTGACCTGAGATTATGGAAGATTCTGATTGTTTCATTTTTAAGCTCAAGAAAATGAATACATTATAAATTCTTAAAACATTAGTTCTACTCTGTGTAAATACCCATAGTCATTGAATGTAATATAAATGCAACTGGACCAAAGGCAACTCCTGAAAAGAAAGAGAGAAATATTACAGCTTCTGACAGAAGTGTATATGTATTTTTCTTTAAAACACCTTTGTATTAAACTGATTTGAAGAGCTTGCTTAAAAATAGCTTCCTTCGAGTATAAAAATTGGGAACTATAGATTGGTGCTTTAGAAATTTAGTCTAGTCTTTCAGTGACCTAGCAGTTGATATGAAAACACAAATTTTAAAATAAATAGCATATTGGATGAACTGTTTTCTACTCAAAAGAGAAGCCAAAAAATGACTGATTAAACTGAGTTTCAAGTCATAAACCAGATTTGTCATTAAAATGAAATGATAGATCCTTGACCCTTGGGCATGCTTGGAATAAATATGAAACTCAGGATTGTTTTTAAAACTATTTTGCTTTTATAATCTAAGACAGATGTACAAAAAACATGCAGTTTTTATTTTGTATTGGCAGCTTCCAAATATTTAGTATCTATTTCCAAGAGTTGCAATTAGTAAAGCAACCATGGTACTGAAATCTGCACATCCCACAAGCTAATTATATTTGCAAGGTCAGAGTGAATACATATTTTCAGAAAAATAAAGGGTTATATAAATATGTGTCTTCCACTTGGCTGTTATATCACAGTTTGTTGATCTGGAGTATAATGTGTACAATTCACAAATTTGTCTGATAACAGAAAGTGGTGTGTGATTGTGTTTATTTTACTAACCAGTATATTCACAGCAATCACTTCCAAATATCTCTCCAGTAAAGATGTGTTAATTACAAAACAGACAAGGTCTTCTATTATATTAAAGCTACTAACAAGAAGACAGCAGGAATCACACATGTAAATAGCATCATCAACCCCTATTTTAGTCCTCTGTTTTGATCTGTGAGTTGCGCATAGACCAAAGGTGCTATTAAAGACTGAGTGTATGAAATAGGCAGCATTATATGAACAAAATTTATTCAACAAGAAAACAGACCTTTAACATGAATTTAACAAGCCTGAGAAATTATAAACTATCATATGCTGCAGATTCATGCAGTGATAATAAACAAAAAAGGAAAGTAAGAGGTTTCCCTAAGCTAGCCAAACTGCTAATGGTTTTGTTATAAGCTGTCTACTGTTGCAGTGACCTCTGAAAAGTCTCAAGGCACTTGTACCAGAAAAAATTAAATGGTCAGGCTGGTGAATAGAGATTCAATGTGGTGTGTAGGCCTTCAGCATGGAAAGGAATTTTTAGAAGTCTAGCATCATATTCCTGAAAATATTCTTCATACTTTAGCTCAGAGGGTTTTGCTATTATATATTAAGGAAGTAGTTTTTGTGAAAAGTTTTTTGGTTACATTATTATTTGAGTTTATAAGATATAAATGGAACTAATTTAATGTATATATACTTCAAAATGAACTGTTTAGAAATTCAGAGTGCTCCAAAAAATAGATTATTTCCCCTACCCATGCATACCTTAATTAATTCTTGGGGGTTCTTTGTTCAGTTTGTTATATCTAAGATTTCTGTTCTTAACCATGGAGTGACCATTTTGCTGTCATTCTATTGTATCATGCTGTAAATACACAAACATGGAGAAACGCTTTCAGCTTATACACATCGAGTGCTCACTAGGGCTTTTTTTTTAAATCTTACTGTGGCTTAATTAACACCTTCTTCACCCATTGCTCATTAGTGCACTGGACATTAATGAGTCTATTTTGATAGGTTGCTCTAAAGGAGAAATCCACTTATTTTCACAGTGCAAAAAGCAATTATAAAATTATACAAAAATTAAAATGTAGACTGTATCGCCATGTTTACATTTTATTGCATACTAAATCTAATTTTGGTCTGCAGTTGTTGGATGTTAGTTTCCTTAAGACAGTTGCTATAGTGATGGCAGCAAATTCCTTTAATCTTAGTGTAAATAGTCATTTTCTATAGGCTATCATTGGTACTCAGGAATTGTAAATGAAAGCATGTCATTTTATTAGGTTCTTGGATTTTTCTCTTAATTTAAGAAAACTTAAAAATTTTCAGATCATGATATCTACTTAACTGGTATTTTCATTTCCTTTTAATGAAATTTCACATCTGCTTATAATATTTCAGAGAAATAATACAGACTTCTACTTTAGTTTGAAAGCATTCAGTATAAACAAGTATATAGGAATTTCATTGTGATACATAATGAAATTTTCATAGTTTTATAGCAACTTTTTCTCCTCCTCACAAATGATTTTACTGAAATCTTGAAGTGGACCAAAATGATGCTTTGCTCTTAATTTACCATTAATAGTTATTTTTTACCATTAATAGTGTTACGTATTAATACTATTTACCATTAATAGTTATAGTGGCAATTCTTAATTTTGTATTTAAGTTATATACCTATCTTTGAAAATGGTCACCTTCTTCCTCCTTTGCCAATATTTTAACTTTATCTTATTTTATGTTCTTTAGTACAAGTGTGAGAACATTTTACTTCTATATTTTTTAACAATTGTTTGAAGTTATTTGTGATAACATCTGATTAAAGTATGTCTGTTATTAGTACTTGTTATTATTATTGTTTTTTGAAAAAAGAGAATATGTTTAGAAAAAATTTTAAGTATAAGCAATGTAGGTCATATATATTTATATGTAAGCGTGAAAGTTAAGTATAGATTAAGGTTATTGTATAAAAAGAAAAAAGTTTTCACAAACTATTAAATCATTCATGTTCTGGGGATGCTTCACTTTATTTTAAGACAAGTGGAATGAATCTTTGGGAAAATGTTAACTGTTTGAAATAAAAGCAAAATTCAGAGTTGATATTGTAGGCCAAATGAGTAAACAGAAGCTTAGATTGATTCACTTGTCATGATGTTTTAGTCTAGGTTTGTATTTTTTGTTTCTGTCTTTGGATCCATCATAGCACACTTTTACAAAGGGTGATATTTCTTTCTTTCTTTAAATCTTGTTCTTTAGCGTACAACATGCAGTAATACTTATTACAAACAATTTTCAGACTTGATTATATTTAGTTGGCTTAACTATTTTTAATCTCCTAGTATCCTCAAATAATAATTGTACAAATAAGAACAAATGTAGTTGACAAAGCTTTTAAAACATTGATAAATATTTTAAAGCACTTTTAAAGGCAAAATGTAGAAATACTTTATTACTTAGTATGTTATCTTGCTTTAAGATTGTTTTACGTGATAAATCTATTGAGTTAAATTCCCTTAAAGCAAAAATCTGTCTTAAAGTCACATGACTTTACATAAAACCTTACAATGTTGAAAAGCTTTAGCAAGTATGTGATTCTTGATAATCTCTTTATCTGTAAGAGCTAACAGATGTTATTGTATCATAGAAGAATTTGAAGTATTTCTGTATACACAAAAAGGAGATATTATTGTAATTTCTTTACTATGAATTAGGACCATATCATTCCATACCATGTTCTTGGCTTAAAGTATGAATGACCTTGGTCTTCTTATTGTGCCTTCTATGCTTGACAGTGGCTTGGATATTTAAGGCCATCAGACAAGGTATAAAGTCTTTCATAGTCACAAGAAGTAAAAGGTATCTGACTAGAAGAGAATACGTGGGCAAGTGCCTTGCTGGCTGTAATTTTGTTGTCATTTCAAGTACTGTGGTGGTGTAATTGATGTGACAGGGCTGGGCTTTAGATGTGGTCCCTTAACTTGTGCTCACTTTCAGTTTTAGTTTCTCTGTCATTCATTTTGATTAGGTAAAATTCTGGTGACAAACATATGCACACCAGTGAAGGCTGTTTGGTGTAAGTTTAGTAATGACATATTTCAATAATAAAGATGCAAAGTTAATTTTTGTCTTTACTGCTTCATGAAAATTGCAATAATTGGTGTCACCTTATATTACAAGATAGAGGGTGGTGTGCTGATGGCACAGTCAGCAGGAGGTTCTTTTTTATTAATATTATAATTAAATGATTTTCTGGAAATAGTCCAGAAACAGATGCAAGTTGATCATGCCTTGTCCACTGTTGCTTGGCATTATCACTTGCTTTTAAAAAAGAATTGATTTGACACCTTGTTTTTACAGGTTGTTATTGATGCCTTCAGATTGATCAATGCTAATATGATGGTCTTAGGACATGAACCAAGACAAACAACTTCAAATCTGGGTCACTTAAACAAGCCATCTATCCAGGTATTGCCTATATTTGATAATGTGTTAAAACTCTATTTTGTATTTTAAAAGCCTTTTATAGTCTTTTTAAGTTCTAATTCTTAGCATTCTAATGTGCTTACAATTAATTTTTCTTTTGTTTTAAAAAAGAATTGTGGAAATATTGCAAAAGTTAGATTTGCTCATATGTGAGTCAGTTTTTAATGGGGGTCTTTAAATTTTCCTATCATATTTGAGGACACCCTTTTTGGGAACATAGTAGATCCTTTATCTTAAAAGCCTTGTGGCTTTGCATGGTTAACATTATAGAAAAAGGACCAATAGGAGTTTCAGGTGAAGGGCATAAATATTATTATTGCTTGATTAGTAGATATTTTTCATAGCAGAAAACAATGGAGAAATTGCTGTATATTTTAAGATATCCCTGGAAATAATTCTTAAATATACTTAAAATTGTCTTTTTTTAAAAACCTACCTTTAAAATAAATCCTATAAAAGACATCCATATGTTACTTGTGATGAGAGTTTATGTCTTGTTTTTTATTGTGATAACAATTACCATTATTGCAGTTATGGGTATTCAGACACTTAATATCCTCTTGAGTGAGTAATGTTTTCGTTGTATCATTCACATGCCACAATGTTTTTATACAAATCTTTATTGTCTGCAAAAATTATTTTAAATGTGTTTTTAAATACACCACAGTCTGTCTATCTAGTTAATTACTTCTCTAAAGACTAATTAAAAGGACAGACATAACCATTGTTTGGTTAAATAGAATACATAAAACAAAGACATTAGAGTAGCTATTGCTGCTCCCCTTCTGAAACGTTGCTCTGTTCTGAGGTTGTCTTTGGGAAGTTGTGGCTTTGACGGTTAACCATGGTTAAGCCTTGGTTACACTTTGATAACTTTATACTTTTAAATGCTTAATTTTGTGGCAGTCACTCATCTGAAATCTTCATCCAAGTGAAGTGTTTTGTTTTAAAGAATTGAGGCGTGTTGATTTGAAAAAAAATTTACAAGTCAAGTAAAACTGTAAAGTATAATGAGTATGAAATAAACTACCAGTGATTTTGATTGGGTACAGACAAGCCTGTACTTGCATGTTCCAAGAGAATATATTATTGGACCTGTTTAGCCTGTGATAATGACCTTTCTTATAAACTCCCATAGCATCATACTGCTTCATTATTTTTTGCAAAAGGTTAAGTAGCATCTCACAAGCCAAGATCATTGTGATTACTACATGGTATGTTTCTGCCAGAAGTTTTTACTAATTGCAAGTCACCCACCACCTGTTGCAAATTTCTTTTTTAAAATTAAAGCACTGCTTTTTAACCTTAAAAATCAACTGTAATCAATATTAAAAACCTGTTTTTTTCTATACCAGTTTAGTTTGTATTTTTTAATCCTACCTTATAGTCTGTAATTTATGGTCTGCGTTATAAAGCAGATTCTAAACCTGTGTTAAACAACCTGTATATATAACAAATACGGCATCATTAGTTTTCCTTTCATTTTAGTTTGTGTTGCCTTCCAATTCAAATCTGTAAATATATTTATTTCACAGTTTATATAGCGCCCAACAGAATGACATCTATCTGGATGTTCTACAGTTTTAAGACAATTTCAATACTAAAACACAAAATGAGACCAATCCAACAAGTAAACAGAACAAACCCACACCTTAATACACTTTCTTATTTTTCTAAGACAAGCTAGAAAGCAACCCAGAAGAGCCTGAAGGGAATGGTAATATCTGTAATGGAATTTTACTTAATGTTAGCAGAATCTTTAACTCTGGGATCAGAAGCCTTTTAGAAATGCCATGCGTTTTATTTTAAAGGGGAGGTTAGCTGGTCTTAAGATGGGCCTTGCTCCTAAACAACTTTCAAGTAGTAGGTATAAAAGTCTGGTAACAGCCATCAGCACACATACTGGTGGTCCCTAATGCTTTTCTAACAGATTTTTTTTTTTACTATTAAAGTAGTAGGGAAAAATTAATGATTTACTTTAGACTGCTATTTAATAATTTTGGGAAAGTTCAAATATGTTAAGTAAGAAAAGATTATAAAATAGAGTATGTCAATTCTCCATTCTGTAAGCATATATTTTATAGATGGTGCCTGTATATTTATACCAGGATATTTTCATTGGTTACCTTTGGATGGTAGAATTATGGAATTTTTTTGTTTTTCCTTACCCATGTTTTTTAAACTTTTTACATTGAAACATATATTGCTTTTAGAAAATGTTATTTTTAAAGTACTAATGACAGTGTTGAAATAAGCTAAGAGATAAAGGTTATTTTCACTTGCATGTTTTAGATAATAGAAGTCCCTAATAATCCTGATAGAGAGGAGAAAGTATAATGCCTGTACTATAGGCTTTTATAATAATGTATGGTAATTCATATTATTTTGCATTTGAAACATTTGGCTATTACTGTCAAATCTTTAGAATTGAGAGTTAACAAGCATTTATTTTAGTAACTAAGTTTTTAAAACTATTCCATTAAAAAGTGTTCAATGACATTTTGGATTCTTAAGTATCACAGTAAATTTGAAGATTGGCAGTTATCCTCATGGAAATTTAGTAAATGTTGATGCATAAATGCATGTGCTAGGGCTGTGAGCCTCTTAGAATAGTCTTCAGTACTGTTGCATTGTTTAATAGAGTTAAGCCGTTTGGAAAACATTGTTTTCAGTAATTATTGAACATATAAATTGTAAAACAATTGCACTAGAAAGGAGCCATTGTAGTCATTTTCTACATGAGGAACCTAAGACCCATAAAGTTGAGTTGCCCAGGTTATCCAGTGAGGTAATGTAGGAACTAGTAATCACGACTAGATTGCTTCATTCTTTTATATTATTATTGGCAATTTAATTAATTAATTTTGCCATAGATTTTATATGTATGTATGTATGTATGTATGTATATACATATATATGTATGTATATATATGTATATATATATGTATGTATATATATATGTATATATATATATATGTTTAAAAAAATTTTTAAGTACAGAGTCATTTAGCAAAAACTCTCCCTTTCTCTTTTGCTTTCTGCAACTCAGTTCTCCACTCTAGAGGAAACCACAAAACATTTTGTTTCTTTTCACTTATTCTATTTATACACAGAAAGCTTCATTTTAGAGTGTGATTTAAAGGATATCAGATGCCACTGTATTGTTTTCAGTTTACAATATAAAATAAATTAAGGCAAACAAATTTGTCTTTAGATCTAAGCATACTGTTTCAAGGAACACGAAACTTTTGAAACTTTAAAAACTTATCAGGAACCTATGAATAGCTTGTGTATAATTCATAAGTTGTGTGTTTTATAATGCACCTGCTTTTCCACAGCAGTGAGCATATAGAGGTAAAAATCATAAGCTTTAATGAGCTTTTATCAGTTGGCCATGTGTAGTTCTACATGAACCCAAAAAGTACATGGCCCGTTGACTTATGATTTGGGATGAAGGCCCTGGGGGCATACAGCAGGTAAGTGAAATTGAAAGACTACTTGAGGATGCCATTTGATTTAAACTTAACTTTGTTTTATTATGGTTATACCTGCTGGTCTTTCATGTGTCTATGTTAGTTGTACTACTTTTATCTAAATAATGTAATTGAAAATCAAGTAGATAGTGCCTTCAGATACCAATTGTATGCTTCATTAGTTCAGTTAATCTAAAAAATGTAGGGCGTAGTATCTGTGGGCCCATTCATTAGCTGGCTTCTGTATGTATTGGCTACAGTGGTTACTAGCTTTATGATCACCATATAGAGTTGTGCAGTTAGTGATTGCATTGCACAAACATGCTTGGATGAGGGAACTTCCAATTCAAGCTTCACTCTACAGCCAGACTATGTCTGCTTAGAAGACTGAGCACCTTTTTCTAATTCTCTACCAGGATGATTCACCTCGTAATGTGCACAAATATGAGCACAGGTTAAAGGAGGCCCTGATCACTTCAACTTTTTGATCTGTGCAATATAGCATTTTTATGCACTGAAATTTAATTCATTGTTCCTGATGATTATTGAAATAAATAAGGATTTAATATATACTCTTGGTACTTTACAATCAGTCACTGATTTCTATGGAATTTCATAGCTCACTTTTATAACAGACATTGGTAAAATAAGAATCTATTGTTAAAGTACTCATCTAAAATATTTTAATACTCAGTGGAGTGATTTTTGCTAGTGAAGCTTAAAAATTAACATAATGCTTTGTTTTCATCCTGATCCTTAAAGTACATATACTTAATCCAAGAATTTCCTGACATGTGTTGTAGCATAGTATGTTAGAAAGAACATAGGCTATGGAATCAGAATGACCTAGGTTCAGATCCCCATCTCAGCCTTTTATAAGCTGTAAACTTGGACAAATTAATATTTGTGTCGTATTTTCTTTCTTTCTTTTGTTTTTCTGTAGAGATGGGGTCTTGCTATGTTGTCCAGGCTGGTCTTGAACTCTTGGGCTTAAGTGATTCTCCTGCCTCAGCCTCCCAGAGTGCTGGGATTACAGGTTTGAGCCACTGAACCTAGTCCTGCATTTTATTTTGATCTGGCAAAATACAAATTGAATTGGCCTACCTTACAGTATTGTGAAAATTAGAAGATGTAATGTGTAAAGCAGATACTAGGTGCTCATTAAATGTTCTCTTTAATGACCTCTTCTTCTGCTTTGTCTTTAGATTCCTGAGAGTTAACCCCAAAGTTCTTTTTGTTTTTATACTTGTTAAAAATATCCCTAAGATGAATTTCTGTACTTTCATGTTTTTCTAGGCCACCAGAGGGTCCTTTAGGTCCACTAGAGTACTGCTGAACTTCATTTGAACACCTGTTGTTGTTATTAGAGTTAGATATGGGGCAGTTGTGAATTGATTTCAGGATATCCAGGATTACTGTTTCTTAATAAAGCCATGCCATTAGCTTAAGATTTTATTATGATTGGCCTATTCATCTCTGAGATGGAGCGAGGTGAAAAAAATTCTGGTTAGTGAGATTGCATGTCACTGGATAAGAGCATGAGCTAGACAGACCCAGTAAAGATCAAAATCCACATTGTTTTGGAGACATTCATAACATAATTATCTGAATCAATCAAAACTGAATTAAGAAAAGGGGAACTCCAGATTAATGTGGCTAAAGAAACAGTTGTGTTATTATGACTTTTTAGGCTTTTCATTTGAAATACCAATGAGTCCCCTAGATATCATAAAATTAGATTTAACAAATTATGAATGATTTATAAACTTAGCTTATGATAAGATCAAACCTTATCTCTGACTGACCAAGCCTACTGAAATTTGTGCTCCTCCGTATCATGCTTTGAAGAATGTATAACCCATTCCTTTGAACCTTAGTTTTAAATCTGGAGCTGAGAAAACTACTTTCATTTCATCTTGATTTACTTAAAATAAAATGCCTTTAGTAAAGGATGGTAAAGGTATTGTGTACAGAATATGTCAGTAGTTTCAAACATTTTTATTTTATTTGATGAAAAATATTAATTTGTCCTTTGTAAAATCATTTATCTATGTAGGCATTAATTCATGGACTAAACAGACATTATTACTCCATTACCATTAACTATCGGAAAAATGAACTGGAACAGAAGGTAAGTTTAAATTTTTATTTTATATGAGGAAAAAAATCTTTTTCAAACCATTTTAACTATTATCTGGTTTGTGATTTAAATTAGAATTTTTGACCTCTTTCAATGTTTCCAAATACTGTTCCACTATTGATGAATTGGAGCGTATTTTACCTTATTGGTAGGTGCTGAAGTGGGAGAGGAAGTAGGAAATAAATCAAACATTCCACTTTGGTTTTATGAAAATCATAAAAATACTTCTTTTAGTTCTGTGATTTTTCTGATTAATGTATCTTCTCCAATAAAAAGGCCTTTGTAATTAAATTAGTGAATATATTGCTCTGTGAATTTGAGAGGAATAACTTAAATTGCAGTTGTGTAGTGCTGTTTGTTTGTTTGAAGAGATAGGGTCTTGCTGTGTCTCCCAGACTAGAGTGCAATGGTATGATCATGGTGCACTGCAGCCTCGAACTTTTAGGCTCAAGCGTTCCTCACTCTTCAGCCTCTGGAGTAGCTGGGACTATAAGCATGCACCACCACACCTGGCTATTTTTTGGGTGGTGGGTGGGAGGTAGAAACAGAGACTTGTTTTCTTGCTCAGGTTGGTCTTGAACTCCTGTGCTCAAGTGATCCTCTCACCTCAGCCTCCTAAATCACTGGGATTATTAGCATGAGCCAGCCATTGCACCCAGCCTAGTGGTTTTAGAAAACATACCATGTTTACCCTAAGAAAACTAAAAGTGAGTCAAAGGGAAGCAGTTATGGGATTTTCAGATAATTTGAACTAGATCCTTACCCCCTTTTATACCAGTTTTTAAGTTTGATTACTTTTTAACATTACCTAACATTTTGATGAATTAGCATTCTCGTTTGTTTCTACTATTTTAGTATTATTTCCAGTATAGTTTTTCTCTCGACTAATGCCAAGTAGTTAACTCTGCCTGTTATTTTTTGATATTTCAATCTGAACCACTTTCTCCCTCTTACTACTACAATTAGTCATCCACCTAATTAGTTTCTTGTATTTCTCTCTGGGAAACAGTTAAAAGCATTTTTTTAAAAGAACACTGAATTTACTATTGATTGATATCCAGTTATGTTTCAGTTATTGAGTTCATTTTTTTTTTTTTTGAGACGGAGTTTTGCTCTTGTTACCCAGGCTGGAGTGCAATGGTGTGATCTTGGCTCACCACAACCTCTGCCTCCTGGGTTCAGGCGATTCTCCTGCCTCAGCCTCCTGAGTAGCTGGGATTACAGGCACGCGCCACCATGGCCAGCTAATTTTTTGTATTTTTAGTAGAGACGGGGTTTCACCATGTTGACCAGGATGATCTCAATCTGTTGACCTCGTGATCCACCCACCTCGGCCTCCCAAAGCGCTGGGATTATAGGCGTGAGCCACCGCGCCCGGCCGAGTTCACTCTTAAGTCTGAAAGTGATAAATAATCAGTATCAAATAAGATCATTCTATCTAGCCAAAACTTTCTCACCAAGATGCATTAGAAGGGGATGCTGGTGCATGGCAAGTGGCAAATGGAGTGAGGTGGGCTCTTTCAACTAGATCACTTGCATTTTTCATCTAATCTATACACTTGGGAGGAGGATGTGCAATATAAGATTTTTTTTGAAGTAAGAATTCTAATTTTTTTCTTAAGTTTGATAAACTGTGTTTTAAAAGGTCAGATCCACTCATAAATTCATCTGAAGGGCCCAGTGCTTCATCATGTGATAAGTGAGGGTGTGGGGGACTATTTCCCCCTTGGCCTGAGGGGATCCTATAAAGCTCTCTTCTAATTGCCAGCCTGTGTCCCACAGTTTACTTCTGCTGTGATAGATTTAGTTGATTGCTTTAAGTATATTTTTAACACTTATTTTTAATTTAACATGGAATAAGTACAGACTATGAAAAATGGCACCACTCAGGTACAAACAAAAAATTCATTCAGAATATAAATGTTTTATCAGACTGACATTGGACACCTATCTATTTGGAAATGTCTACCTAATTACATCAATTTTTTTCTTTCTCTTTTTTGGGGGAGTATCTCATAAACTTAGCTATTTTCCTTGGCATAAAAAACAAATATATAAGCACTTATATAAATTAATTAATGTTATGTTTATATTCTTAATAGCTCAGTTTAGCCATTAAACTGCCTTCTTGATAACAAAAGCTCTGCCTTTACTCCTACCTGGACAACTTGTATACTTAACCCCAGGCCTTACCTGAGGGTCCCAAGGGTATCCTTGTCCAGGTATGGTAGGAATATCCTGCTGCTCCTTGGGAACTGTCTTTGTTTGCTTTTGAAATGATAGGGAAATGCAGTTCTCAACACTTAATTATAGGTAGCTGTATAGCATAGGTAGTTGTAGCAGCACCCACATTTCCCAAAGATGTGTTTTCTAGAACAGTATCAGTGGAGAAGCTAGGAAGCAATCAAAGAAACTGAAATCATCTCTGGAGGGTTTTCCTAATTTTTCTTGGCATAGTGTTCTTGCCCCTGGAGCCATAGTAAGGAAATGGAAGAATTAGTGACCTTGGAGCCAAAGGAAGGGAAGGGAGGAATTTTGTATCTTGAGAAGCCTAATAGGTGATTTTGACAGGCAGCTTATTTTCCACTATAAGATAAAATGTGTACCACAAAAAGCTGTAAATTTCTAAGCAAGTAGGCTCATTTTTCTTTTCTTCCTTTTTTTGGGGGGGAGACGGAGTCTTCCTCTGTCACCCAGGCCAGAGTGCAGTGGCATGATCTCGGCTCACTGCAACCTCTGCCTCCTGGTTTCAAGCAATTCTTCTGCTTCAGCCTCCTGAGTAGCTGGGACTACAGGTGTGTGTTACCATGCCCAGCTAATTTTTGTATTTTTAGTAGAGACAGGGTTTCACCATGTTGGCCAGGATGGTCTCGATCCCTTGACCATGATCTTGATCCGCCTGCCTCAGCCTCCAAAAGTGCTGGGAATATAGGCATGAGCTACCTCGTCCAGCAAATGGGGTCATTTTTCTAAAGTAAACCAGCATATACCTCCAAGTACATCGTCAGATTCTCATGGCTCAGGGATCTCATTTAAAGTATAATGGTTCTATTGACAAAATAACAGTCATTTTGTAGCCATCATTTTTTTTTTAACTTTTTGCAATTTTGTGAATCATTCAAAGGGAAAAACTTCTTACTTAATCATAGTCCTTAATTGAACAAAATTTCTAGGGTAGGACTTTAAGAAAAACTGTCTTAAAATATAAACTTGAAACCTTAGGGAACATCTAAGAATACTTAGAATTGGAAGTCCAATTTGAGAAACATTGAACTAAGGTGCTTTAGTTTCATGATCACTAATACAGGGTCCAGCCCTAATTTGGTGATGTGATTGCACACTAGATAATTTTTCTTGTTTTTGGAATCTCACTTACTCTGTCACCCAGGCTGGAGTATAGCCTCACTGCAACCCCCGTCTCCCAGGTCCAAGTGATTCTTCTGCCTCAGCTTCCCAAGTAGCTGAGATTATAGGCATATGCCACCACGCCCAGCTAATTTCTGTGTTTTTAGTAGAGACGGGCTTTCACCATGTTGACCAGGCTAGTCTCGAATTCCTGACCTCAAGTGATTCTCCCGCCTTGACCTCTCAAACAGCTGGGATTATCTGCATGAGCCTGCCTGGCCTAGATAAATATTTTATTCTCAGCTTCATGGCTTTTCATTCTAACAGCAAAGAAGTTTTAAGTTTTTAAATTATGGATGGAATATCAGAATTTGAAGGAAACTTTGAGATTACCTAATACAAACCCCTTACTTCATAGATCTCTAAACTGAGGCTCAGAAAAATTGACACAAGTTCATTTAGTACATGGGACATTTATCTCCTTATCTTGGCATTTGAAAGCTAGGCTATATGAAAAATTAGAGGTACATTGTTTAATATTAATATGAGTTTCATTCATTCATTCATTCATCAGATACTTGTTGAGTGTGTGCTATTATTAGATATTGTTTTAGAATCTAGATCTTGGTGATCTTGAAATGAATAGGGCAAAGTCCCTGCCTTTTTATTTTCCCTTTAGTGGGAGAGAAATGCAATAAACAAGTAAACAAACATTTCAGGTCTTTATAATATAAATGTTATATACAAGTAATATAGCAGGTTAAAGGAAGAAAGATTTTTGTTTAAGGTAATGTGGTTTGACTATTTTAGGTAGTGTTGTTAGGGATGGCATCTATCTATAAGGAAAAGAGGAAGGTAAGTTACGCAAAGATGAGAATAGCCTTCTAGGTAGAAGAACAGCAAATGCAAAGTCCTTGGTGTTTGAGTACCCCTTAAGTTATATTAATATAAATATAGGAGCATTCTAGTTGGAGTTTGTTTGAATTAATAAAGTTAAATTTAAACTCATTAAGTCAAAATGGTTTTTGTTTTTAAATTTTTCTCCTCTAGACAATGAAGGGGATGTCCTCAAAGCAGAAAAAGAATTACTTTTTCTTTATTTTTTAGATGTTGCTAAATTTACATAAGAAGAGTTGGATGGAAGGTTTGACACTGCAGGACTACAGTGAACATTGTAAACATAATGAATCAGTGGTAAAAGAGATGTTGGAATTAGCCAAGAATTACAATAAGGTAAAAGTTACTTCCGCCATTTGTTCTTTATAATCTTGGGAATGTGTATGATTAGATACCAAGTATTGTGTACGTAATTAAAAAATAGAGACGCCTGTTTTGGTAAATATTTGCTTTGCAGTTCATCTGGTCTGCAACTACTCACCCTTGCCTTTGTTGTGCAAAGGCAACCATATATAATATGTAAAGGAATGAATGTGTTTGGCTTGGATTAAAACAAGCAGCTAGCCAGATTTGTTCCATGGGCTATAGTTTGCCAACTCCTGTTGTAGACCATGCAATATGGTTGTACATTTGAAATCTATTCATTATTTAGGGTGTTTTTTTCTTGAAAGGGACAGGGAGTAAGGAGATAGAGGTAACAATTATCAGCACTTGCTACTTGTTGTGTATAATTTATTTTATGAATGTTTCTATTTTTCATTTAATAATTATTTATTGAAAGTCTAATGTGCCAGGCATATCACACATGTATACATACAGATTGCAACTCATTAATGTGTTGAAAATCTACAATTTGAAAAAACACATTTATTTACACATTATGCAGTGTTATATTAACAAATATTTATTGAACATCTCTTGTACAAGTTGTAGTAGAAAACAGATCCTTGCTTTATTTATAGGAAAACAGGAACAGTTAGATAACCTTATAAATAACTAGGGCATTAGTTAAAAAATCAGTCTAAACCTTAATACCTTCATATTCAGATTATCCACAGACCAGCTACATCATCATCACCTAGGATCTTATTAGAAATGCAGACTTTCAGACCTACTGATTCAAAGTCTACACTTTAACAAGATCTCCAGGAGATCTGAATACTCTTGAAGTTAGACATTAGAGAAACACTACCATAGAGACCATAGGAAGCCCTGTAGGAGTTCAGAGGCTCCAACTTTCAAGCTGGTCAAGACCCAGGTTGCTGTCTTACAGGAAAACAACATTCAAACTAGGCCTTAAAGCACCAGTAAGATTTGAACATACAAAGAAATGTTACCCTAGGCAAAAAAGAAAACATCACAGATAAGGGCTAGGAGATAGAAAAGGCACAGAACAGATTCCGAAGTCCTACATCCAAAGGAAATGAAATCAGTATGTCGAAGAGATGTGTGCACTCCCATGTTCATTGGAGCATTATTCATAGTAGTCAAGATATGAAATCAACCTAAGTGTCAATCAACAGACAAACACAATGTGGTGTATAGATATACATATGATGGGATACTGTTCAGTCATTAAAAAAAAGGAAATCCTGTCATTTATGACAACATGGATGAACTTGGAGGACATTATGTTAAGTGAAGTAAGCCAGGCATTGAAAGCCAAATACCACATCATCTCACTTATATGGAATCTAAACAAGTTGAACTCATAGAAGTAGAGAGTAGAATTGTGGTTACCAGGGATGTGAGGTTTGGGTGGAGATGGGTGGGTTGGGAGGTGTGGGGAGAAAAAAATGACACAGGATATGCTTAGGAAACAATATGCTTGGCTAGCATGCATAGTACGTGAGGGTAAATAGTGGGGAATTAAGTTTTTGAAATCAAATAACTGCACTTGAGATGTCAGGATAAGAGGTTTTTTTTTTCTTTTTTTTTTGAGATGGAATCTCACTCTGTCACTCATAGTGGAGTGCAGTGGTGTGATCTCGGCTTACTGCATCATCTGTCTCCTGGGTTCAAGAGATTTTGCTGCCTCAGCCTCCTGAGTAGGTGGGATTACAGGCACCTGCTGCAATGCCCAGCTGATTTTTATATCTTTTAGTAGACATGGGGTTTCACCATGTTGGTCGTGGCTGGTCTTAAACTCCTGACCTCAGGTGATCCACCTGCCTTGGCCTCCCAAAGTGCTGAGATTACAGGAGTGAGCCGCCATGACTGGCCTAAGGTTATTTTTTGATCAGAAGCATGATATGCCTAGAACCTGACTTCAGAAACAGAATTTCACAACAGTCTAGAAGAAGGAATGCTGTAAGAGAAGATTCTAAATGGAGATTCTGTTTAAGAGGAGCTTGCTACTATCCAAACAAAAAGTACAGAGAGTGTATTATCATGTTAGCAGTTGAAATGGGGTATCAGTAGGCAAATAAATAAAGCATGGCACTGATTGGATAGATGAAGTGAAAGAAGGAGGAGGAATCAAAGAGGATTTCTAAGTTTCCTGCCTGGGTGACTAGTAGTATGGTGTTACCATTAGCATTTTCAATGTAGGTCTGAGTAGAAGGATTGAGGAAGGAGGTAAAGAGTATATTTTAAAAGACACAATTAGAAATATGGGACTAGGAATTAATGGTAAGGGCTAGAGCTCAAGATTTTAGGATCATAGTTAAGATTGTTGTTGGTTAGTATACCAAAACTTAATATTTCTGTTTTAAAAATAAATACATCTTAAATAACTTTTATCCAAGAGACAATGTATGAAATATACCAAGTGTAGCAACAAGTCCTTTGAGAGAGCTAAGCTTTAAAATAAAGTTGATGGGCCCATACAAATGAAATCCCAGCCGAATTACGCTTGGCTTTGAAAAGTATGCCCTGATTATAGTGTTTCAACTGGAAATCCTCGTTAGTGCTAGATTGTAGGGAAAATATTTCTTATCTTTCTAGTATATGTTTTCATGATGTGGATATTAGATAAAGAGAAATCCCTTACCATATTTTAAGTAGTTAACCTTTTATAAGTAAAAAAGTTATGACTGAAGTTATTATTCAGCAGACTGTAGGAATGGTTTTCATTTCTCTGTAACATTATACGTTTAAGTAAATTTGTATTGGTATCACTGCCAGGAAATAACCTATTTATGGTTACTGCTGCCCATCTACAGAAGTTTTTCCTATTTTACAGTTTTAAAAAATCTCTGTAGTACTCAAAAACTTGTAAGGTTTGGTTATAAAATGAAAACAATGTGTAAGCTGTGATATGAAAGAGTCCAAATTTGGGAATGTAATTCCCTCTGTGATTGAAAGAAATACGGTGGGTTTTTTTAGTAACACTTAAAATATAAAAAGAAAGGCCCATGCTACCAATTCTTCATAGTATTCTTTTTAATTGGTTGGTGTTTTAAGCTAAGGTAATTACTGTTGGATGCCAGTTAGGTCCTAAAGTAAAAGAAGGTTAGAAAATAATTAAATTCTTATGTCCCAAGTTTTCAGTTTCAAGTCTGAATTTCACAGAAATTCTCCCTGATTATTATTAGTCATTTGTTTTTTTCTAATTACTGAACTATAACACCCACAGTTGTGTTATTCCAAGTCTCCTAATTTATTCATGCCAAGATGCATCTGCTTTTTTTAAAAAATTTTTTTTGATAATGTTTGATTACATATTTATAAATGAATGTGCAGGTGAAAAAATAAATTGCGAAGAACCTTTCAAGAATAGCATAGAAATAAAAATTTGCCCTTTTTTTTTTCAAGCATGTAGCTCTATATATTCTGAGATGTGACAGTTTACTGTTCAGGTAGAAATATTGACCTACTTAGTAACCTGAAAGAAAGTTTGAATATTTATTTTATATACTTACATATGAAATATGTAAATATGCAGTTACTTTTGGTTTACTAAAGTAGCTATACTAAATGGAGAAATCTCATTTTTTTGGTAGTACAATTATGATAAAAACAAAAGACATAAATATTGGGGAAAACAGGTAAGATTATTATTATTTGCATATGATAGAATATGTTTGCAATCAAACATAGAAATCTAAGAGAATAAACTTAGAAAACTCTTAGAACTGTTTTAATGAAGAATTCTGTAGGTGGTAAACACAGTTACATAAACTGAAAACAGTTGAAAAATATAATAAGCAAATCAGTTCACAGTAGCATCTAGAATTATAAAATATTCAGGAATTAGCCATCACAAGAAATGTAAATGTGTATAAGTGTATCTGACTTATGGAAGAAGACAAAAACATTTGTAATAAATTAGGACATACCATGTTTCCAAAGGGGAAGAGTAAGTATTTTAAAGCTGCTATCAGGCTTCCCAAACATTACTATAATTCTAGTAAGAATATTAATATGGGGGCCAAGCCCAGTGAATCATGCCTGTAATCCTAGCACTTTGGGAGGCTGGGGCAGGCAGATCACAAGGTCAAGAGATTGAGACCATCCTGGCCAACATGGTGAAATCCCATCTCTACTAAAAATACAAAAATTAGCTGGGTGTGGTGGCATACATCTGTAGTCCCAGCTACTTGGGAGGCTGAGGCAGGAGAATTGCTTGAACCTAGGAGGTGGAGGTTGCAGTGAGCCAAGATTGCACCACTGCACTCCAGCCTGGCAACAGAGTGAGATTCTGTCTCAAAAAAAAAAGAAAAAAATTAATGTGAGCTTTGAAAAACTTGATAATGTGACATTAAAGTTCATCTTCATGAAGTAACAACTAACATTTATTGTTTGTTATAAGTCAAAATGGGAGAAAATTTTGAACCTATAACATGGTAAGCTAGTACCCCAAAATACATAATATTCAAAGAATTCCTATAAAATATTTATTTTAATTTTGTTTTTCATTTCTGTAAGTTATTGAGCAACAGGTGGTGTTTGGTTCCATGAGTAAGTTCTTTAATGGCGACTTGTGAGATTTTGGTGCACCCATCCCCTGAGCAGTATACACTGTAACCAATTTGTTTTTTTGCCTATACAATATTTCTTTAAAATAATAAGTTGAGCAAAAGCTAAACCTCACTGAAGAAAAAGACAAATATATAAGCTTGGAAAAGTTCTAACCTTTTTAAGTAGTCAAAAAAAAGTAGATATATTTTTTCTTTTTAAATAAAAAAGAAGACAAGAAAGTAAAGTACATCTCCTATAAAAAAGAAAAAAAAAGAACAGAAGTTTCTTAAATAAAAAAGAATTTTTTAGGAAAATATACCACTAGTGGGAAGGTAATTGATATAACGTGTTTGGAGGCCAGTTTTCAATTGGAAGTGCATATAACTCTTTAAATCAACATGTTCTTGTTAAAGGATTTACTATGAAAAATAAAT